TAAACAGAATGGGAGAAGAAAGGCTACCAAAGAATATAATGAAATGGATCCCAACTTAAAAAAGAAAACGAGGAAGACCCCGAGAGACATGGTTAAAGGGGGTAACAAAGGCAATGTCATTGCGCAATTTACAAGCCGATGACTGGATGGACAGAAGGCAATCGCGGCAAGGAACCGGAAGGCGGATCACGCTGTAGAACCGGACATATATATAATTACCCTCACGACAAGACAACCGGAATTCAGTTTAAGTACCTATTTTTTAAATGTTAACATTAATTTTCTTATATTACCGATTACCGATTTTCTTAATATCTATAGGGTGGTCCAAAACATATTCGGCAGATAAAAATAAGTAAAAAAGTTCGTATAAATGTATGTCCTAAAATGCTTTGTTTCGGAGATACAGGGTGTAGAAGTTTCATTTTTATTTCAATTTTTTCCAAATAATTTCTAAAGTAACGTCAATATTTGGATGAAAATTGGTGTCTGGTAGTTTTTTGACATGAAAAATTTAATTTTTATGTCAATATGACTCCTACTAGTAGAGAACGCCACCTACATATTTTTTAACTGGTTTGAAGAGTAATAACTTTTCGTCCGTACCTGTATAAAACGACTGAGTAAAAAATAGATATTTACGACGTTTTTTACGTAAAAAAGATCTCTTGGTAAAAATCGCTAAGAGTAATAATTTTCAAGATGTTTGAAATCGAAATTATCAATACCTGTCATCATTGACATAAATTAAACATGTTGACTAAATAGTTATTAGACTGAAATTATAAATATGAAATGTTTTTGTGCCAAAAGTTCAATAAAAACTGTTTTATCATAATTGTTTGCAGAAAAACTTACCATTAATTAAAAAAAAATAAAAATTTCCCAAATTTATTCTTTTATCTACTCAACACAAGTTCATTTTTCTTCAATAATAACATATGTAGGTATTGACTATTTCCATTCTAAATATCTTGAGAACGGTTGCTCGTAGCGATTTTTACAAAGAGATATTTTTTGCGTGAAAAGTCACAGAGATGTGTATTTTTTTCGTCGGTAGTTTTATACTGGTACGGACAAAAAGTTACTACGCTTCAAATCAGTTAAAATACTTGTAGATGGCGCCCTCTATTAGTACGGGTCATATTGACATCAAAATCAAATTCGTCATGTCAAAAAACTCCCAGACACGAATTTTCATCCAAATATTAACGTTACTTCAGAAATTATTTAATCGAAATAAAAATGAAACTTCTACACCCTCTAAAACTAAACATTTTAGGACATACATTTATACGAACTTTTTTACTTATTTTTATCTGCAGAATAGGCTGCCGAAGTTTGGAATACAGTTTGGACCACCCAGTATATTAGATATTAATTTATTGTAGGTACAGATGAGAATGAAACCACTTAAAATAAAATGATTTTATTTTCAGAATAACTAAAAACAATTAACACTAAAAAAATGTAAGGATCAAGAACATAAATTAGTAATAGTAATTTTAAAAATAAATTTTTAAAATTTAAAATTTTATGTAAGTTCAAAAGGAAATGCTGTTATGTAAAAAACTCTGACTTAAATGTTTTCTAAAAAGAATTAAATCGTTTAGAAGATTTAAGTTATCAATGTAAAAAAGACTTATAAGCTAAATCTTTAAAAATATCTAAAACTTTTTTTAATGACTAAGTCTTTTTCTATTTAGGAATAAAAACTTAAATCACAAATCATTTTGAAAATGAATTAAATTTTAAGCCTTAAGACAGCTTTCGAAATGTGACTTTAAGTAATTCGATTTTTAGTCATTAAAATGATTTAAATAAAAAAAAAGAAGGAAGAAGAAAAGGAAAAAGTTTTCTGTGAGCTTGCAGCTTTGGACCCACATTGCGAGCTACCGATCGTAATTTCTTGAGCACATGTGGAACCCGAGTTGGCTGCTTAGTTTGTTGTATGCGTTTTCGGTTTGTACAAAAGTTGATTATTAATTATGCTCTAATATTTGCGTCAATATGGACTCAGTTGACTGTTTTCTGATAAACAAAATCAGCGTCACAAATCCCATCATCATCAACAAAAAGAAGACGAACTACAGAAGACTACAACATATATGTTTCAGTCTTTTTTTTTGCAGAAAGCAGTTATTTATACCGGTGCCCGGTGGCGTAGAGGTACAGGCTCTCGTCTACGTGTGTTAAGTTAGCACAACCACTTTAAAAAAAATGTATTAAACTATGTGGAATAATTGCCGTAAATTAGCCGTAAATTTGCCGTGAAAACGAAAAATTTGCCGCTCTTCGCTAAGTATGTTAAATCGATGGTTGTGCTAAGTTAATATTAAGTTAGCACAACCACCATTGGAAATTAGTGTAACAACATAGTTACGAATTTTATAGTATAGCAGGAATTTGCGTTTTTTTTTGCCGTTCTTAGATACAATTAAAAAAAATATCCTCCGATCATTCCCTATCCCCCTGCAACAAAAAATGTAATAGCGTCAAGGTCACATATTAAGTTAGCACAACCATTCCAGTAAACGTTAAGTAAAATATAAATATAAATATATATATATATATATATATATATATATATATATATATATATATATATATATATATATTTTTTTTTTTTTTGAAATATAACCGTTTTTAAACTAAATTTACTGCTTATTTAAAGCCGTCTGAAAATTATAAATTCGAAGAATTTTAAAAAAGTTTAACGGGAAGTACTGTATAATAATGTCTTCTTCAAAATTCGGTCTACCAAAATTTGTAATCTTGTTTGATATATACAGAGCGAGTCAAAACTAAATGTTGTATTTTTATCTACTATTTTAAATGGAACACCCTGTATTTTGTATCATAATCGAACAAGGTATCTTTTTGTTTTATTAATGCCGAAAATCGATATTCAATAAGAAAATTATTTATACCCCTGCAACAAAAAATGTAATAGCGTCAAGGTCATATATTAAGTTAGCACAACCATTCCAGTAAACGTTAAGTAAAATGCCTGAAATTAGGTGGAACAATTGCCGTAAATTAGCCGTAAATACACCATGCTATCGAAAAATTTGCCGCTCTATTATTTGTTTATAAAATCGATATTTTTTTTTAATTAACGTAATCGATAAAGTTAAATTAGCGCGATTTTTCTTAAAATTCACTAAATGGTATCAATAATGACTTTATAGTACAACAGGAATATGCCGTAAACAAGCCGTGAAATCAAAAAATTTGCCGCTCTTTTATTTCGATTATGACACAAAATACAGGGTGTTCCATTTAAAATAGTAGATGAAAATACAACATTTAATTTTGACTCGCCTTGTATATATCAAACAAGATTGCAAATTCTGGAAGACCGAATTTTGAAGAAGACACTATTATTCAGTACTTCCTGTTAATTTTTTTTTTTAAATTCTTCGAATTTAGAATTTTCAGAGAACTTTAAATAATCAATAAATTTAGTTTAAAAACGGTTATATTTCAAAACCATTAGGTATAGTATATGAAATTGGGGTATTTTGAAACAGAAATTTAGTGGCAAATTCACTGAGCTAAAAAAATATACAGTATCCCATTTAAAAATATACAACTTTGGTTTGAAAATATGTTTGAATCACCCTGTATGCTGACAAAAATATTTTCAAAATATGCGTTACCATTGGATATGCCCCCATATTATATAAATAAATGAAATGAAATTCACAAACCAAAAACCTAACATAGAGCTTTTTCGGAAGCCTGAATCACCCTGTAGATTTTATAAAGAAATAAAAGAGCGGCAAATTTTTCGATTTCACGGCTTATTTACGGCATATTCCTTTTGTACTAAAAAGTTATTATTGATCCCATTTAGTGAATTTTAAGAAAAATAGCACTAATTTAACGTTATTGTTTACGTTAATTATCGATTTTGTAAACAAATAATAGAGAGGCAAATTTTTCGTTTGCATGGTATATTTACGGCTAATTTACGGCAATTGTTCCTCCTAATTTCAGACATTTTACTTAACGTTTACTGGAATGGTTGCGCTAACTTAATATGTGACCTTGACGCTAGTACATTTTTTGTTGCAGGGGGATAGGGAATGATAGGAGGATATTTTTTTAATTGTATCTAAGAACGGCAAAAAAACGGCAAATTCCTGCTATACTAGAAAATTCCTAACTATGTTCTTTCACTGATTTCCAATGGTGGTTGTGCTAACTTAATATTAACTTAGCACAACCATCGATTTAACATACTTAGCGAAGAGCGGCAAATTTTTCGTTTTCACGGCAAATTTACGGCTAATTTACGGCAATTATTCCACATAGTTTCATACATTTTTTTTAAAGTGGTTGTGCTAACTTAACACACGTCTCTCGTCTACCAATCTCAAGGTAGTGGGGTCGAATCCCACACCCGCCATTTCATCAGCCGACTATTTCTATTAAAATAAAAATAGTTTGGGTACCGAAGTCGACTCAGCCTTAAATGAGTACTTGGGATTCACAATCCTGAGGTAATAATAGGCGGTTGAAGCGTAGTGCTAGCCACATTACCTTTCTTGTATACCGAACGGCTCTAGTATAGCAAACTGTACCTTGCTACTCCCAAGGCGTTAAACGCTATATACGGGAGCTATTATATATTATATAGTTATTTTTACCTCAAACTAGAATCACTGACTATCAGAACTCAAATCCAATTTCAGTAACAATTTCAAAAATTGGCACTTCAACAAGACGGCAAGTAGCGTGGAGAACTGAATTGCTCCACTATGTTTTTGCCCTTAGTCTTTATGACAGTCTTATTATGTTCATATTATATGATAATCATGGTATGAAAAAGAAAATTGTATTCAAATTGACTGAGTACTTGGGAAAATTTCAAATATTGAAGTCTGCGTTAATATAATGACATACAATAGAAGTTTTCTTTTATTTTTACATTATGTTTTGTATAGATTAGATGTTTATATTGGACCATATTTTCATAAGATATAAATTTTTTATACGTTACTAAAATATATATTTTTTAATTATTTTACTCTTTTTTACACAGTTTAAATATTTTTTAATGAATCACTAATAACTAAATTACTTTTTTTAATAATAATCCTGTGATACAGAATTTCCACATGTTCTATTTAAAATAATTTAAGGGTAGTTATTAGTATCAGTAATTTGATTAATATATCGAAATAATTATATACTAATATACATTAAAATATAAATGAGGTAATCCTATAAACTATAGTATTATTAGACCCTAGAGATTCGCTCGCTCATTTTTTTCTTCGTGCTTCTTTTGTTGCTTTTTGAGAATTCTAGCTTGTCTATCAGATAAAGTCATTTTTAACATTTCTGTTTTAATCCAGCCAACAAAACTTGTAACATTCGTATATATACCAGGCCAATTTTTTAATCCACATCCTATTCCATAACTTACAATACCGGCCGCGTAGTGAATAGAATCTGAAATAAATATATTTAAATTAATATAAGAACAAATTAAAATTATTATTTTTACCGTTCCCTGTTAACTTAATTGAAGTATTCAGAAAATTCAAAATATTTTTTATACCACGTGGTGCATCGGAAGACGGGACACAGGAAATCCTATGTAAATTTTGAAAAGGTCAAATATTATCTCCCCAGATAATGTTATGCAAAAGTTTTATTAGACTTTTTTGAAGAGGCGTTAAAGTTGTAATTTTGTCTAGAATTTAGTTTCATTCGGAATAGTCATTTAAAAGTTATTTGCAAAAATCTACCTTTAAATTAGTAAAATTTATAAAAGGGCCCAGAAAAAGCTACAATTAAAATACCACCAAAAATATTGTGATGAGAGATGAGACTGTAAATTGTGAATGAGAATCACGACTAATAAGTCTATGGTCACTAGGTTCCTTAATAGTTTCTGCTCTGGCATACTTAACTTTTGCTATTATTTCAATATATTGCAAAAATGAAAAACAAGCCTTATTACATTTTTGCTAGAGCCTCTTTGGTTTTAGTTTTTCGCAGAAAATTTATTTATTTATTTATTTATTTAGCATACAGTCTAACAGGTATATCTACCCATTTATTAGACATATAATAAACAAAGTAACAATTGATAAGCTAAGATAACAGCTAAGAATTACATATACTACAGTCACACCTTATATAATAGAAAATACAAAATAAAGTTAAGGAATAATCTAAGATTAGAAAATATTAGTAATACAATAGAAAATTAAGTTAAAAAATTCAAACAAATTTATATAAAAGGAATTACGTAGAATATATTAGGAAAGTAACAAGAATTTAAAAATAAAGCCGTCTTACGATCTTCGAGCGGTACTGCACGAGTATCATATGGAAAATGTCCAAATCAGTGGATAATTTATTGAAAATGACATATGGTAGAGTGGCTGTCTTAACAAGAGATTGTTGGATAGGTAGAAAAATTCCTTATTTCTGGTTGTCACTGACGGTACTCGAATATTTACATCACTCAGTAATGTCTCGCAATAGGCATGTTCCAAAAAATATAAATTCGCAAATAAATCATTGTATTGCATAGATTAAGTCTTCATTACTTACAATACATAGGAAATTAGGAAAAATTCCATGATATTTTTTTAGAAATTAAATTATAATTTCAATGACGGACTTGAACATTCCTGGTTGAGTCGTGACGTACATAGCCTTCACCAATCACGTTTCAGATCGTAGAACGGGAAGTTTCATATCATATGTTGGTATGACTGATAGCTTGGCTCATGCGTATCGGGCGCAGCCTTTTTGGATTTTGTTATTATTTTTCTTCGTGCTTTTCAGTTCAGCTTTGGTTCAGCGGTAAATTTTCTTGGTTATAACTTTTAATTTTATCTAAATGGCTCAAAACTATGAAAAAACTTTTTCGGATAATTTTTGAATGTTGACGGAATATATGGTGGACAATTTTTATATACACTATTTAAAATACTTAAGTGCTGAAATAAAGAAGTCAAAATATCAAGGTGAGATTTTTTTTCTTGAAGAAGTTATTTAAACGTAATAAAACCATTATTTATAAAGCATAGAGTGAATCATAACGATAACAGTTCGATTGGATACGTTCAATAAAAAGAGGGCTTCTGTACAATCAAACAAAAAGTACACCTAAACATTATGTGACTGCAATAATAAAAGTGTACAGAAAGTGGAGGGAACTAAATTTTTAAGTTGTGCATACCTGGTGATTTTTGAATTATAACTAAATATGTAGGTAAATATATGTATATGTTTTTATTTATCTATTTGTATTTTAATTTTAGGCAGCATGTAAACATATGTCATACATAACAAATAAAATCAAGAAAGATACCATGGCTATGATTAATGTAGAATGAAGGAAGATAACATCTTACTTTCTAGCAACTTTTATTGCCATTCTTGTCTTCTCATAATATTTATATTTTATAATCTTGTAGCGGGTTAATTGTAAATTGACTGCGCTGATATTCAGTAAGTGTCATCACCATCAAAATGCAAATTATTACAATATTGTAATTAAAACACTTTATATTTACTTGCCTTTTAATTTAATAAATTTATGTGTATATATGTATTAAAATGTAATACATTTTAATTTTTAACTTTATGGTAATACACAATGTATGTTTCCTTCGAATCTTCCTGATAGATTTATATAATACTCTTAAAAAATAATATTTTATGCATATATAATAAACATTATTGATCATATATTAATACATTTAATAACAAAACTTTAAAATAAAATATTTACTTGATTTTATGTAAAAAGGCACTGCATTAGAGCCTTATTTTGTCTATACAATGTATTTTATTAATAGTCTTCTGAAATAACTTAACCATGAACGTATTTATTAAGATTCTTAATGCCAATACAATTTTTCTAATTGCCTTGTTCATGTTCTCTAACTTTTCAGAGTTTAGAGTCAGATAGTAGACGTACTTTCAGTCAGATAGTAGACGTAATTTTCATGATCAGATTGTAGCGTACATACCTGTTTTATACCATAACTGTGATTTTCCGGAAATACTATTAATCTAGTTATCAGGAATTACATTTTTCTCAAATTAGTTTTCCCCCACCTTCTTCCACATGTAAAAAACAGGCCATTAATGATTTAACAAATGAATCATAATAGGTATAAACTTACTTTCAAATGCTTTGAAATCACATTCATAGCTTAAGAGAAGTTTTCTGAAAAACAGCATTTATGATTTTCCATCTTTTTCGGCGCGTACAAAAACATTTTATGCAGTTGCTGGTAAATGTTATCCAACAATGGAACAATTAATTTATTAACATTATTGAAAATAGTTTAAATGCAAATTTAATTTAAAATCAAATTAAAAATTGTAAACAATATCATGTTGACATTGAATAAACAGCAATGCTGCCAACATTATAAAATTTACCAAGTTTATTTCGAGACGAAAACCAGCCAATCATATTGGCGAGGGCTACATACGTTATCACAGCGCGCTTAAGTGTGAAATTCAAACTTTTACCCCATTTTTTGGCCTAATATTAAGTTTTATATAAAAAAGGCTAAGTAGCAAGCACTAATTAGGTTGAAATCTGCATAATTACGTGGAAATTGAAAAACATGAAACATGCCTATTAATAAAATTCCTAACCAATTTAAATAAAAACATTAAACATATATAGGTAAGCTCGTCTTTATGCTAAAGTTTGACACTGGAACCTTTGCAATAATAAGTTGTTATCGTAACCACGAGCAGGGTAAGTGCCATCGATTTTAAAGGTTAGGTATTTAAGAAATCTTTGTTGGACACCTTCGAGTGCACTGATATATTCAGTATAGAAGGGGTTCCACATTATACATTCGTTGGTTTAAAGCAACCAATTACTAATTCAACTGTATACATTTTTACGTTTTATTGATTTATTCTATGTTGTCCGTACCATTTACTTTTTATTTGTACGAAATCAATGTCTGTACTCTTAACATATACAATCTGTTTATAAACGTCAAATATTGTACCGTACTAAAATAGCAGGTGAAACGCCGCTAAATAGCCTTTGATGCTGATGCCGGCTTGAAACCTAAATTTCTCCTTCTTCTTCTTCTATACATCCGTATTCGAGCCTAGATCGAATATAAGCAAAATATATATCAATAAAGTATTGAGAGACTGGATGTTACAAAAATTCTTACATGTTCTAAATATAAATCCAAGTATAGACAGTGAAGATTTCCCGATATTGCGCACATGAATGTTAAAACTTAGTTTACCATCGAAGTATACACCCAGGTCTTCAAATAAATCAACACGATCCAATACTAGAGATTGCAATAATCTGATTTCTTTTAAGCGTGAATGACAGAACTTTACATTTATTTATATTTAGCGACAATCTCTTGGTCAGACACCACTCCTGTAACACATTCAGATCCCTTTGCAACTCCATACAATCATTTGTTGTATCAACAGTTCTAAAAAGTTTCAAGACGTCAGCGTAAAGCAAAGCATTACTGCTCAGTCGAAGAGTGATATCGTTAATAAATAATAAAAATAATAATGGGGCCAGGTTGCTGCCTTGAGGCACTCCACTAGTAGCTTCAAATGAAGCAGATACATATCCTCTATGCTCTACAAAAAGAAAGCGACTAGAAAGATAAGACTGGAAAAATAGACATAAACGTTGATCAAATATAGGATATGATGATCAATATGATCAAAAGCCTTGGGGAAATCTGTAGATATCGTGTCAACTTGCTTACGGCTGTTCAGTGCCTTACTCGTGTGTTTACAATCAGTGCCTTACTCGTGTATTTACGTATTATTTTTTTTGTGTTAATTCACTTATAATAATTTCGGTATTGTTTCTGTTATTCACAAATCGCTGATATGAAAGATAAATGTCCGAATGATTGATTAATTTGTACTCCGCACAAAAACATACCAAATGGCGCACTTTCACTCAATTCACTACAAACTCTACTTAGAGCGAGAGCTATAAAATACGTACACTCGTACGCATATGTATATTTGTATATTTATAATTAATTTATTTTTGTTTCCCAAAATATTTTGATTAAAAGAAAATATGTAAAAGTGGGCAACGCTGTGCTGGTCAAGCTTAATCACATGACTAAAAATTTATTTTATATGAACTATACATTAAAAATTTACACATTAACAATGTATACATCATGGATTATGTTAGAAAACAAAATGTGACATCGAATTTGACCATCACAAAATCACATTTTTGCTGGTATTTTAATTATTGTAGCTTTCTCTGGACCATACATATTTTTAGTAATTTGAAGGATTTTTGCAAATATCTTTTAGATGCGTATTCCAAATAATACGAAATTTTAGACGAAAACACAACTTTCACACCTCTTCAAAAAAGTCTAATACAACTTTTACATAAAATCATCTGGGGAGATAATATTTGATATTTTACGTTCCGTGTTCCGATGGACGACAAGGTATGTACAGGGTGGCGCCTCTCATACGCCGCAGAAGCTCCATGGAGAACAGTAGTTGATATCGAAATGAAAATTTGGCAGCATATGTAGGTTAACTGAAAGCATTTTTTAAAAATATATAGAATTATACAGAGTGTCCCCAAAAAAAGGTACACATCAAAGTTGTGTTTTTTCTAATGGAACACCCAATATATTAATTAATTTTCGGATTCTAGGAAAAAAATAAAGGTGAGTTTTGTTAAAGAAGCATATACCTAAAATCTAAGGATTTTGACATATTTCACATTTTGTGAAAACGAAGAGTAAATTTTAAATTTCGATAACAGCTACCTAAATTTTAGTTGACCTTGTATATTCTGATATTTAACTACAGTAACCATTGTATATTAAACCAAATTGAAATTTGACCCGAAAAGTTATACAGGGTGAGACAAAATTAATATGGAACATTAGTCACTTTAAAAGGCAAGTTACTCCTTTATTTTAAATGGAACACCCAGTATATTTTTCCGGTGTTCAATAGGGAATTTATATATCTTCAAAATATTATTAAGGTTGCCTACCCCTCAGACAAAAATTTTCCTAGATATTGTAATTTTTATGATTTTGCGCCAGTAGATCTTTATTATTTGAAAACATCTAAGTGGCTGTGCGATATACCTTTTGTTAATTTAACACAAATTAAAAATTGTATATTAAAATACTCAATGGTAATAAAAAGATACACGTTTAAAACATATTTTAATTATTACAGAATTAAAACTAGATATAAACCTATAATTATGTGACAAAAATTAGCTAGATGAAATCAAATGCTCAAAATGCTTCCTTTCCTGTTAACTGCATAAAATGATTGTCTTTTCATTTTAAAAGGCATATGTGGAGTTCTACCTCGAAAAGCAGCTACAATCATTTCTCTCATGTTGTCGACAATAGTTGGTCGAGTTTTGTAAACACTGTCTGTAACATATCGCCTTAAAAAAACAGACTAGATAAAATCACGAGCATTTAAGTATTTTATTAATTGGTGAATACTCACTGCATTCACCGACTAATAGAATCATGTCAATTATTTCTGATGTAGGATAAGTTTGCATTTTTGGCAAATTTCTGAGAAATTTTTTTGTTTTTACTGAGACAAAATGATAACTAGTTGTTAAAGTTGGATTTATTAGACAGCTATATTGAAGTAACGTCAGACATATCACAGCCACCTAGATTTTATCAAATAATAAAGATCTACTCAGATCAAATCATGTAAATAAAAATATCTAGGAAAATCTTTATTTGAGGGGTAGGCAACCTTAGTAGTATTTTGAAGAGACATGAATTCTCCATTGAATATCGGAATAATATACTGGGTGTTCCGTTTAAAATAAAAGAGTAACATGCTTTTAAAGGTGACTAATGTTCAATAATAATTTTGTCTCACCCTGTATAACTTTTTGGATCAAGTTTTAATTTGATTTAGTAGTACAATAGTTAATTTAACTACATATTAGACTATGCCGGGTAAATTCCAATTTAGGTAGCTTTTATTGCAATTTAAAAATTGTTCTTTATTTCTAGAAAATGTTAAATATGTCAAAAACCTAACATTTTAGTCATACACTTCTCTTATAAAACTCACCTTTATTTTTCTCTCAGAATCCGAAAATCAATTAATATATAGGATGTTCCATTACAAAAAACATAACTTTGATATGTAACTTTTTTTGGGGACACCCTGTAGAACTCCCTATATTTTTAAAAAATGCTCTGAATTAACCTACATATGCTCCGAAAATTTCTGTTCGATATAAACTCCCGTTCTCCTTGGAGCCTCCGCGGCGTATGAGAGGCGCCACCCTGTATTTATTTTATAATTGCAAAATATAGGAATCATACCCACCGTTATCTCTGATCATAAGTGGTCCTCCAGAATCTCCAGTGCAGCTATCTTTACCATCTTCACCACCGGCACATATCTGAGTTTCATCAATTTCCAAATTGAGAGTTAAAAGTTTATCGTAGCACACAGCCTTATCAACAGGTGGCAAATCGAGTTTAAGTTTTACTGAGCTTGCTTCCTCTAGAACAAATTTAAAAAAAAAACGGTTTTACCTTGCTTTTGTGATGATTATAATATTTTACATTTACATTGATCACATTTTTCAAAACCTTTCCTTTGTTAATGAGTAATAGTGATCCAATTAACGCCAGGTTCCCAATTACGCCATCCGCCATTTTTGGCGATTCTAGTAAAATTGTAAAAAACAGTACATCACAATTTGTAGATTGATATCAGAGAAAACAACCAAATATATAAATATTTTTTTTATACTCAAGAGATACGCCGCTATGTTTGTTGCATTATATTGCCGGTAAAAATAACGTGAAAAATGCGGTTTTCAATGTAAGATTATTTCTATTTAATAACCTTTAAAATTCGGTTTGGTAACATAACGGTACCCTCTGGTAAGTTCGCAACGTTACTGTATCATAGTTTTAAGTTTCATTAAAACTACGATATAAAGGGGAAACTTATCCCTAACAGATCTTTTTAAATCATATGCACCTAATAACGCCAGTGAAAAAATATTCCACTGGCGTTGTTAGGAGCTATACGGAAATAAATTAAAAAAAAGTATCCAAGAAAGTTGGCTTTATTTATGAAGAAGACCATGTCCTCGACATGCGTCTTTGTCTTGTATGCAACTGTTACATTCACGAGAAATGTGTATGCCTATCTAAAGAGGATAACTTTTCATTTGTTTATTTTAAATAAGTTTGTTAGTTTATTAACTCGTGTTATTGAATTTTTAAGATGAGTAGGTATTATACCTTTTTTATTCTGAAATGTAAGAAAAACAAAACTTCTTTAACCTTCTGGTGTGCTTTGCTTGATCGAAATTACAACTGGCGTTATTTGGGACAAGGTGTTGCAACCGAATATATTTTTTTTCGCCAATTTAAATTCTTAGAGAAAACAAACAAAAATTAACTAACCATGTCTTATAATATACCTAGAGAAAACAATTACCAAAATTGAAATTATTTTGAAGAATATTTAAGAAACTACGGAGGGTCAAACTTTAATATGGCGTTAACTGGGCCACTGACCTTAGTTTTGGGTGTACCTATTTATTTATTTATTGTATAATAAATATTTATTTTTAGAACAACATTTAAATAAATATTTTGTAAGGAAAACTTTAAAATTACCAATGCATACCGGTAGCTGTTTTCCCCCAGCCACTAATGTAATATTTGTTGATAGTTGTGTCCGAGGAGGTATGAAGACATAATGGTTGAACATAATCTGTAAAAGACAAAGAAAAAGTATTTTAATGCGTTCTATAACAAAGCTCACTCGATATGTACCTGTGAATTTGAATGATTTCTTTACTTGAATTAAAGCTATATCGTTGTAATGATTGGTTGAATTTTCATCATATTTCGGATGAACGATAACATTGGAAATGCGACTTTGTTGTAGAGGATCGGCACATGTAATGTTTCGGGGTGTACAGTCTATTTTTGTTGTTATGTCATGCTCTCCAAGAACAACAGCATACCTAAAATAATTATGGTATTATAAACATTCTTTATGATAAAATTTATTTTTTTATAAGCTATGTAAATTAACTAAAATTATGGTTTCCATTGCAAATAAAATAACTTTTATGGAGAAACATCTAGTTTTGAAAAAGGAAATTTATTAGGCGTAAAAATCATAAAATAGAGTTGTCAGAAAATCAAAAATAGTGTCGTCTAAGTATTATTGAAATTTAGTTGGTCTTAATATCCTTATCTTAATTTCAGGTACAGTCCTAAAGTAGTTATTATAGCTAGAAAAGCCTATTCAGTCTCAAATGCATTATATATTCTTGACGCTAGCTGTTTCTAAAAAAGTACTTATCGGATAACTTTAGGGAATAAATTCTACTAAGTAAATCGGTCAATAGAAATCGAATTCTTTTCAAGTGTATCAATCAACAAGTAAAGATATACCCATACAGCACGTTCAAATGAAATTACGTTTCTACAAGGGAGACACATGAGAAACCAAATATGTTAAAGTGAACCTAAGTGTTCATCTAGTTCTAACATATACATATGAGATACACGCAGGTTTATATTGATAGAATTGTGTGATACAGTGTTGTCTAGTTGTATACCGTATGCACTCAAGATTCTAAAGAGTTTTTTGTAACGTAACAAATAATTATTAAAATGATGAAATCTGACGTCGGTATATGAGACATACAATGTATGTATGTGTGATACTTCGTACTACGTTACTATAGGCACAACTACCTATAGTACACACCTTGTAAAAATGTGACGTATACACATAATATAAACTTCTATATAGACACTTTGTATTAGTGTACTGTTGTGTCTACATTCTAGCATGAAATGAAGGTGTGCACACGCGCGGATAGCCTCAGCGTAGACACACCGACCAAGTGTATCTTATGTGTTCTCTCTCCTTTCTCCTTTCTAGGAGTGGTATGTGTTAGCAGCCATTATTGTTTTATCATTCGGAAGCTCTATATAAATGTTCTGTTTGTGTAGTTTAAAAGAGATTTTAAGGTAAGCACAAGTTTTTAATTACCTTGTTACACCTTCCTAAGAGTATTATTAATATTATAGCAGCGACTCTTCCCTTACTCGAACTCGATACCCAATTTACCAAATTTTGACTCCAATGAATAAAAACTCGAAATATTCTCGTATAATGATAACGAAATTAGCTCTGCAATATAATTGTTTTTAATTTGGAAATAATAAAAATCTAAATGGACCAGAGAAAGAAAGATTTAAACACTTCAAAGAACTTCTTACACTGATATTCGGTAAGTTATTGATGGCTCAATATACAGGTATGTTTAATATTCAATAATCAGTTTCATATAAAATTTAAGGGTGAGGTTGTCAATCTGAGATTGTTAATCTCGATGAATGAGTATTCTTACAAACCAACTGCTTGGAGGGTAAAGAAGAGAAAAAAATGACTAAACGAGGTCCAACAGATCGTGGCGATATATACCAGTGTTTATCATTTTAGTATGTTGTTATACTCGGTACTTATATTTTTAATACATTTTGATACAAATTCTGTTCTTTTACAGTGTTTTCTTACTTCTGGTTTCTGCAGTGTAAATAATAATTATTATTGTGTTATTTGCGCTATTGCGTTCCATGATATAAAGAAATATAAAAATTTTATTTTTAACCACTTAATCCATTTTATGGAAGAAAAATGGTACATTTAATACAAAACAAAAATGGAACAATTTTAAGGCTACTTCTCTTGAATTTACGATCGAGATACTTTTGGAAAATACAAAGTTTTGCCTTCCTAATTTTCGTTCTAAAAAGATATAATTGGTATCATTGAATAAATATTTCTCAAAAAGAACGAAAAGTTAGGCATCAAAACTTGTATTATTTCCTAAATTCGTTCATAAGAAATAGTTTTATCTGGCTATAAGATGTGATACGATTTTATCTAGCTATAAGATGTGATACGAAGCAAAATGCATACGTATACACGCGGTAGTCACAACTGCAATGTGTACAGAGTTTAAACGTAATACACAAGCACTGTGTACCCTACGGCACACTGTGTATCGCTTACTTTGTGTATACGTAAATGCTATACTGTGGCTACATTGTGAGGCGGACATTTAACCTTTGTGCATACGTGTTGAACTACAATATGTAAACGTAGCATATTTACATCGGGGGAATTATTGTGTCACCCTGTGTCTACATCTAGTAATGTAAACACATCGTAAATGTGATTTGATGTGCTGTATGGGTATCTACTGGGGGACGCATCTGTAATGGCCAATTCAGAGACACAAAATTTTAAATAGGTATTACTATTTTAATCTTTGGAAAATTTGTATTTTTTATATTATAAAGTATTTTTCTGTAACTCATGAAATAAAGTGGTGGGGAAGGTTAAACTTATAGTTATTAAGTTAGTCTGTGACAATACGCAACCAACTTAAATAAAATATATAAATTCCAATATGAACTTACGGCTCTCCTCTAATTTTTCTAGTGGGGGTTTGTATGCAGTGTGCTGCAGTAACAACAATTCTAGCGTGTATCAAAAACCCAGCACATCCATACGTTTTACGACCCCTAGAATTTTTATGCAGGATTCTTGCCATCCAGGGATATTCTTTTAAAGCAGCTGTTGTGCCACCATAGATTCGTCCTCTCATAATAATTTTTTGAACTCCACATGGTTTTGGAAATATGCTATTATCTACATACAAAAAATTCTATACTGTAAAATATCTATTGATTTTACTTTCTTTAATATTTTAAACAGGCTATATGTATATATATATTATAACAATAATAATTGTATAGTATATGTTTCAGTGAAAGTCTAAAATCCAGTAAAGGACAACAATCACTAGGAAATGCTAACAATTATGCATTGAATTAATAGTAACATTTAAAAAAAATATCAATTTTTACCAGTAATTGTTAGCAGTCTCTAATGAGAGTACCATTTACAAAATCTCAAAAGACTATCAACGCGACTAGAACTTTTACTATTGTAATGTTAGCAAGACACGGAATGTGAGCTCTTATAAGTAATTGTAAAGATTCACTGATTTTTTGCTGAATTTTACATTTGAACTACTGTATGATTGTTTGAATTTGTATCATTTTTGAATTTCGCACCGTATAGGCTGTTAATATCAACTGCCTTCCATTTTAAACATTTTTTTGGTATCAAATGTGATCAAATGATGATCTTCTTACGAATGAAAGATTTGTTGCATTATTCAATTGAAATAATTTTTATTTTAATGTAATCTATTTTAATTATATGTAGAATGTAGAATGGGTTATAATCATCATGTATCATCATGGGTTATAATCATATGTATAATACATGGTGATCATACCCATGATGATATACCCATCATACATGATGACTTTCCTGTAGGGGGACAGGGTATTTCCCATCCTCCTCTGACAACAGTTGTTCTTCCTCTGAGGTTAACCCTTCCACGGTTGGGGTTTGACTCTCCGTATTCTTTACAGTCGAGGATTGATTCTGGCTGCGGTATCCGTAAGGTAGAGGCTGGAGGATCTGTCTCTATTTTCTCCACCTCTATAACTTGGTCTATCCTTAGACCTGATACCGGTGTTGTCCCGAATCTATAATAGAGGATATATCCCCCTTCCTCTATTGCCTCCTTGGATTTGAGGTCAATTCCTATTTTGAGGGACTAACCATGTACTAACCACTAACCTCCCTCGAGTTGATGACTCGCCAACTCGATGTCCATAAATCGGTGTTCTGTTAGGTTAAGTTATGAGGTGATGTCTTTCCCCTTGCTCCTCGGCAGAAAGACCGTGTTGTTCGCCTTTTTTGTGATGTTTTCTCCCTTCACTAAAACCAGTTCCGGCCCTTGCTAATTCTTAAGCTTAGGTGCCGTTTCCCTCGCAAACAATACACCCATTCTTGAGATACACAATCTATGAGAAGCATGCCCACCCGAAAGTGTACCCCCGCAAAATGCAGCTGACTTTTGTGGACCGTTGTGTTGCAATCCGATCGCTACTACTTCGTCTTGATGGCCTCTTCTAGAGCCGGTTGCTGGTAGGTTAGGTTAGATTGTCAGTGCAACCTCTGGGTAATCCGTTGGCAGCACCGCTATTTTTACTTGTCCAGCAATGGCGGCAAAGCTGGTGATACGCCCTTGCTTTCCTCCCGGTGTTGGACGGCTTTCTATCCTGGCTTTTTCTCTCTTTGCCGGAGCAGAGGTGAAAGATTCTCGCTCCCTCTCTTGTCCGTTAGTGGAGATGCGCCAGGCTGTTTCTTGTTTCCTTTACTCCTCCTTTTTTCGTGGAGTGTTTTCGCTTTTGCTTCCTTTGGATCAAATCCTGGAGCAGTCGGAGGTATCTCCGTACCTCTACTCCGCCAGACCGACTCTCGGCAAATCGTCTAAGCCGCCTGGTTCATCCTGGTAGATAAAACGGTAGCTTGTGTGCCGCTTGTGGAGGCTGGTCTCATGCAAATGTCAACCGCCTCTCCTATAGTTTTCCTTGGGATTGGTCCTTTGGGATTGGGTCCCTTTGGACTTGCATTCACAATGCTCCCAGTGTTGCTAGGGGTTTGCCCACAGTTTCACCGGTGGTGTTTTTTATGTTTAATCTCAGAGTGTTCCCACGAGTAGCTAGGGTTAGGGTTGGTTGGGTTGGGTCGGTCCACTTCTACAGAGCCCCACCTGTAGAAGTTAAAGGTAAATACAGTGGGGTGCCTCTTGGTGCCCGGAAGGTTGAGACCAGGAAAGGCTAGTCTCCTGTTTGGCCATGCATCCCTTAGACCGCCATCATCGTAGGATTTAGGTTTTTGGTGAGGTTTGGTCCTCTTGGTCCAGGCGGTTAAGCCAAGACCCAGATATGACCACAGACAGTAGAGGCTGACTGGTATGATGGACAGGATAGTCCCATTCAGCATCGTTATACCTCTTGATGCAATTCCATGGCCACGACGAGACGCTACAGCCAGGGACAAGACAATGAGATGCTCCTTAGGCCCAGCCAAAGTGCAGCTTCAGGCACTTTGGCTGGGCCCAAAGTGCCTGAGGGAATTTCCCCTAGCAACTGACTAGGGGCTTCCCCACTAACGACAAGGTCTCGCATCTCCTAGATGAAGTCGCATCTCTTAGAAGAAGATTTTAATTATATACAAAACAATAATATTTTGAAATATTTGAAAATTTTAAGGCTAATATAACTTATTTATGTTTACATAATTTTTCATGTGTTTTTTTCAGCGAAAGTCTCGATAAATAACAAAAACAATTTTCGAAAGTTTGACTATATTTGCAACTAAGGCATCGAGAAACTTGTATATTTAATATCTACCTAAAATAATAAAACTATAAAATTATACCAATCGAGTTGCTAACATTTCTGAAGTTGTTGAATCGGCCACAGCAAACTTTGAAGTCATTCTGATTTTCCAGTTTTGGTCCACAACGTGATGCTTCAATATAAGCAGCGTATTTCTTACTTTTACGCACATTTTGAAGAACTGGACATTTTGATATTTCAACACAATAGGTTATCTCTAGATTTGGAGTTTCACAAGGAGTAGCGAATCCTATAACAAATTCAGAGGTTGGATTTTCTTTTGTTATACAATACTTAATTTAATTTCGAATTAAAACAATATTTTGTCATTATTATCAAATGTAGAACTATTAAATCTGAACTGTAGAAATCTGTACTTGGGATGGATCGAACTTAAATCGAGTTGTAATTCGAGGAAATATTTATAATATTTGCAATATAACCATAAATTATATTATTTGTTTTTATAAATTATTATTTGTTATCTAACAAATGAAACAACAAAGTGCAATGAAACAGAATCAATGAAGGAAAAACAACAATGAAATTAAAATTGACCTAATGTTTCTATAATTTTGTTTTATGGTATATTAATTACTAATCGGAGTGGCGCGGTGTATGAAACGAAAAGAAAAGTTTAAAAATATTGCGTTAGTTTAAATTAATATAAAATGAATCATTCTGTATTAGGTATATTAAATTCAGAAAATAGATTATATTAGTCAATTTGGAACATGATTTGTAATTTTCCAGTTTTCACTTATTTTAAAGGATATACAGTGTGACCCACTCAAGACCGGGCACCCTCCATAAAATCTGTGTTTATAGTCCGATTTTGATGATTTTTTTTTCAAATATAAAGTTTCAAAAAATGTACTTTAGGGCTCAATGTCATGTTATTTCACAAAAAACAAGGCCTACTTAATAAAGTTTTTGTGGTGAAAAATTTGCAAAATCATATTAGCGATTTTTTTTTCAAAAATTTGAGTACACCCCTACGTTCGGTATCCCCAAAACAGTTCTGTACCAAATTTCGTTTAAAAATATTAATTATTAATAATTCTGTAGTTAAATTAAATAATTCCCTATTTTTGCCAATTTAACGATGAGTTATCAAGTAACCCTTTGAAAAAACAATCCACGACAACGAGTTTTATTACAAACAATGATAAAAATACTACAAGCAACACAATAACCGAATAATAAGTTAAACATATTCAAATAATTCTAGTTGCTTCTACCAGCCCTCCATTCAGTTCAATACATTTGTCGCATCTTTTCTTAGATTAACAGTTACATTCCTAAGCTGCTGTGGTGTAATATTTGCAGAAGCCTCTGTAATTCTAATACGTAATTCATCTACAGATTGAGGTCTAGACTTGTAAACTTGTTGCTTTAAGAAACCCCAAAGAAAGAAATCAAGGGGTGTTAGGTCCGGGGATCTCGGTGGCCACTCAATTAGCGGGCTATTTCGACCTATCCACTTATTTTCAAAATTTTCATTTAACCATTCCCTGACAACTGCCGCGTTATGCACAGGTGATCCGTCCAATTGAAATTTTAAATTCAAACGGGTTTGGCATGGTAAATTATGTATTGCATCCCAAAAGTCATTAATCAGAAAATTCAAAAACGTTGGACTATTCAAATTTCTCTCAAAAAAATATGGACCAATGATTCTATCATCAAGTATGCCACACCACACATTTAATTTCTGAGAATACTGTCTTCTTGTATTGATCACCCATTCAGGGTTTTCGACTGCCCAGAATCGCGAATTTTGAGAGGATACTACTCCGTTTGTACTAAATGTTGCCTCATCACTAAATAAAATTTCTTTTAAGAAATTTCTATTATTTAAATACTCTGCTTGAGCCCATAAGCAGAATTCTAATCGTCTAACATCATCTCCGTTTTCCAAAGTGTGTAAAATCTTTGGTTTAAAGGGTTTAACTTTATTAGTTCGCAAACATCTCCTAATATTTTCCCTTGGTATATCCAAATCAACACTGGCGCCTCTAATGCTTGCACGAGGATTGTTACGAAAATATTCTAATATTTCCTCATTCCGCCTATTTATTCGATGTTCCGGCCTTCTGTTTTTTAGTAAGTATTTTGACACATGTAGAATACACGAAAACTCTGGGGTTTAAAATAAAATACTGTTTGCTTGCTGGCTATCGTGTATTGACTGAACTCGCCTTTCCGCATTACGTAAAGATCAACATTGTTGTTTACAGGTATTCAGAGTACATTTTTTATATAATAATAATCTCTAAACTATTGAACACTACATCCACCTTCTTCTTTTAAACAAATTGAAATACATTAACAAAATTAGCAACAAGATATAACTTCTGCAACCTATAACTAAAACGATATAACTTATTACCTAGATATATTAATTTAACTAATTCTAATTTACAATAAACAACGAACTAGTATAACTTAATGCTAATAATAATCTCTTAGGGACTACACTATTTTGTAACAATAAAATTAAGTTAAATCACAAAATACCCACTATCCAAACAATACATTTAACTTCATTCAATAGTTCCCTAGTCATGCTCATGACTACTATCATTTTGTTCTGGTTTATTAGTGACTTTCCATTCTCCTTCAATTTTCTTTAAATGTATTATATTTCTTCGATAATCTTGACCTGTTTCATCATTCCTAATTTGAATATCACCTCCATTTATATTTATTACTGTATGCGGACTTGGATTGAAGTTTGGACAAGTTTTATTACTTTTAATTAAATTTTTCACTTAAACTTTGTCACCTGGCTCCAAATTAGTTTCTACTGCCTTTCGTTTTCTGTCCCCGTATTCTTTTCCTTGTTCTTTTAATATTTTGTCTCTGTCTCTAACTTCACTGTCTAAATTATTGTTTTCTAGATCGCTGATGCTAGGAATCTTGTCTCTAAAAAATCTTCGAAAAAACAATTCGGATGGAGATTTACCGGTAATACTGTGCGGTGTACTATTGTACATCATCATGTAATCGAGAAGATCCCTTTTCCAGTTTTGTTTTAAAGCACAGCTAATTTTAATTCTCTTTAGTATGTCACGATTTTGTCGTTCAACTTCGCCATTTTGTTGAGGCCAATAAGGTATAGTGTGAAATAATTCGATACCGGTTTCTTTACAATAGTTTTTAAATTCAATGCTTGTAAACTGCCTGCCATTATCAGCATTAATGCAAGATGGATACCCTAGCCTAGAGAAAATTTCTTGTAATGTACTAATCGTGCTTTGTGCTGAAATATCTTTTAATACTTTAATCTCCTTGTAACGGCTAAAATAATCGACTATGACGAATATAAACTCGTTACTTGGAAGTGGGCCTAAGAAATCAATGGCAACAACTACCCATGGCTGTGAAGGCAGTTCCCGTCGTTTCATTGGATTTGGTCTATTCGGCGCTGAAACCAACGTACATCCTTTGCAAGCCTTTACAAGTTTTTCCGCGTCGGCGTCGATTTTAGGCCACCACACTTTCGTTCGTAAACGTTTCTTCATAGCTACGATGCCAGGGTGACCTTCGTGAGCTGCTTCCATAACTTTTGGCCTAAGTTGTGATGGTATAACTATTTTGTCACCTCTTAATAGAATTCCTTCATGAAAACACAGTTCTGAACTAAATATTTTATATTGATTAATTGATTGGTCCCAAACATCTTGAAATATTGCTTCTTTTACTTTGGTGATTTCTTGGTCTTTTTCTGAAGCTCTCTTGATATCAGATAATGAAACAGCAACAGGTCTTGAATAGCTTAGTATTTGGCAAATAGAATTTTCATCAAATGATTTATTTATATTTTCTATTCTTGGCAGTCTGGATAAAACATCCGCTATATTAAATTTTCCAGGGCGGTATACTACTTTATAATTGTAACATTGTAGTCGAAGGACCCATCTCTCTATGCGCGCACACGGTTTGGCTGTTGGTTTAAATATGGCTTCTAGTGGTTTGTGATCTGTAACCAATTCAAATGTTTCTTTTCCATATAGGTACATATGGAAATGTTCCACTGACCATACCAGCGCAAGAGCTTCTTTTTCCGTCTGACAATATCTCTTCTCACAAGCTGTCAGGCTTTTATTTCCAAATGATATAATTCGAGGACCAGATTCGTCAAATTGGATAAGTACACAGCCAAGACCAACTGGACTGGCGTCAGCTATGACTTGGGTTCTGTCACCTGGATGATAATAGCCCAATGTTTTGATGCTGGATAGGGTCTCTTTTAGTTTTTTGAACGAATGTTGCTGTTCAGCCTTCCAGTAGGACTCTATGTTGGAATTTTTTCCTAATTTTAACCTAAGTATCTTCCTTAACGGGTCTGTCAGCGTTGCTAGATTAGGGATCCATTTTCCCACGTAATTTACCAACCCCAAAAAACTTTGTATCTCCATAATAGTTTTGGGTGCTCGAAATGTGTTTATGGCTCCTATGTAGCTCTCTACCGTTCTGCTTTCCAAGTGGTAACCAACTCAAGGCGGAACTCAAGAACTTGGAAGATTCCATCCGCAACCTGGAATGGAAATCTTGCAATGGTCTAGGACACTCGAAGAAGTTTCTGAGGGCTTATGATCAAGAAAAATCACAGATCTTCCTGGGTCTGAGTAAGAACAATCTTCGGATTGTCACGGGGTTTTTAACAGGACACTGTCTCCTCAATGGACACCTCAGTAGATTGAAACTAAGAAGAAACGGCGAATGCAGATTCTGTGGGAAAGATGGGGAAACACCAGTACACCTCATCACTGAGTGCGCCGAGACGACAACCATTCGTGCCATGAATTTTGGTACCACTGATATTGGAGATGGAGAACTACCCTCTATAAAACCGTCCCAGATACTGGCTTTTGTCAAAGCCCTGGGACTGTATGATGAGTTATGATTCAAGAAAGGGGGACACAATGGATCTGTAAGGTCGAAGTGATTAACCCCCCTCCCACTCATTCTAATTCTAAATTCTAATTCTATGTAGCTCTCTAGTGGTTTGATACCTACTGCTGAGAGCTGATGACCTAAAAATTCAACGCTTCTCAATCTAAACATGCATTTATCTTTATTTAGTAGGATGTTATTTTGATCTAAAGTTGTTAAAACATTATTTAATCTCATATTATGTTCTTCTAGAGTTGCTCCAAAAATTAAAATATCGTCGATGAAATTGACAACACCGTCACATTTGGCAAGTACACGTTCCAATAATTTCTGAAAAATTTCTGGAGC